GATACACGCACATACACGTACACGCAGATACACGCACGTACACGCGGGTACACGGAGATACACGCACGTACACGCACGTACACGCGGGTACACGCACGTACACGCAGGTACACGCACGTACACGCAGATACACGCACGTACACGTACACGCAGATACACGCACGTACACGCGGGTACACGGAGATACACGCACGTACACGCACGTACACGCGGGTACACGCACGTACACGCAGATACACGCACGTACACGCAGATACACGCACGTACACGTACACGCAGATACACGCACGTACACGCGGGTACACGGAGATACACGCACGTACACGCTGTTACACGCGGGTACACGCACGTACACGCAGATACACGCACGTACACGCAGATACACGCACGTACACGTACACGAAGATACACGCACGTACACGCGGGTACACGGAGATACACGCACGTACACGCACGTACACGCGGGTACACGCACGTACACGCAGATACACGCACGTACACGCAGATACACGCACGTACACGTACACGCAGATACACGCACGTACACGCGGGTACACGGAGATACACGCACGTACACGCGGGTACACGCAGGTACACGCACGTACACGCAGATACACGCACGTACACGCAGATACACGCACGTACACGTACACGCAGATACACGCACGTACACGCGGGTACACGAAGATACACGCACGTACACGCGGATACACGCACGTACACGCAGGTACACGCACGTACACGCGGGTGCACGCACATCATCCTTCTTCGTTGATGGACATAAATGGGGCATGACCGACGTTACCGGTTCCTGTACCTACCGTTTTTCGCCGGTCTATTTACTTTTCGTAAATAATGAAATGCCCGGCCGATGCATTTCGCACCGAAGAGGGAAATTTTCCGCATTTTCAGTTGCTGTCGGAAGTGAACGAGTGCGTCATTCATTGAACATTTTTCTAACCTGTATGATACAGGCGGTTCCGGTTCCGCTTCACTACACTAACCGCCTGTACCCCTTGCTTCTTCAGCCCGCTTCGCGAACGAAGAAATCATCGCGCCCAATCAGAGAGCTGTAACAGGCCAATCAGCCAATCAGCGAGCAGGCTTTTGAATTTATAACTGCAATTAGTGCACGCTTCTGCCAAAGCCATTAACTAGATTGTTTCCATTCATCAGGTATTCGCCTGGGGTGAAGTTTTGCCGTATTTACTTCTGTACGCTCGATTGCTCGCCGCTAATCATATTCCCCGCCATAACAACCGGTCGATCGATAACGAGGCTTGCGAACCGCCAGGGTTGAGCTCGCGTACAGGTCACTGATCTCTATAATAAAATTATAGAGATTATAGTTATTTATAGAGATCAGTGGTACAGGCGGTTAGTGTAACTGTAGTGGAACATACCGCCTGGCCCTGTATCATACAGGTTAACATTTTTCATCAAAATACAGCCAATGTCCACAGCGCCATCTCTTGGAAGTAAATATGGGGATTTTCAATAAAATAATGCGTTTCCGTAGATTTTTCTGCGTTTTCTGCGTGATTATTATTTTGCGCAGGCACTCATTTTGGAAATCCGCCAACATTTTTACTTCTTCCTTAGTTAAGTTAGTCCATGTTTTACTGTTATTTAGGAAGGAAGGTAAAACTGTGCAGTCGTATAATTTCACTCTTGCTTCTATAGTATGATTTAATAATTTTGCTCTTCTGCCCATGATAATATTTCGCTCATCATGAAACGGCTCATCATCAACATTTTTCAGTTCGGACTCTTATCATATCG